GGGCCGGGGTCTTTGGGCCCGGCCTGAGCCGCCCGCAGCGGCAGGTGGCCGGAGGCAGGGTTACCTGGCCGTCCTCAGCCTGCCGCCCCGCTCCTCCCCGCCGGGCCGGGCCGGGCCGGGCCGGGGAAGGCCGTGCTCTGCCGCCCGGCGGGAACGCCAGGGTGCTGGGAGGGCGGCTGCGGGAAAGAGCCCCCCGGTCTGCCTCGGTCCGCTGACCCGGCGTCAGCGGCGTGAATCTTACTTTATTTATTCCAGGATTGACGTAAGGCTCTGGTGGGCTTTGTGGGCAGCGGCCCCCGGCCCGTAAGCCCGCTGGGCAGGAGGCGGGGAGAGGGGCCCGGCAGGCTGTGCCGTGGCTGGGCTGGCCCTGTGCCCGAGGGCAGAGGGGCGGTGGGGGTTGCTCAGGGCCTAGAAGGAACAGGGGTTTGTGTGACAGGTGCGTGGCCGGTTTTCACAAGTGGATTTAAGCCTCTGTTTACCACCTTTGAGTAATCCCTGGTGGCAGCATGGAGAGCTATCGTGTCTCCTTTTCTGCCCAGGTAAGGAGAAGGAACATACATGCTCACAGGGCTGTGTAGCACATGCTTCGTGCTTCAGGGCCTAGGTCATTCCCGTGGCTGTCAGAGCCTACAGCTCGGCCGGTTCCATGGGAGTAAGCGCATTAAGGGCCATATTTTCCACTGACCTCAAATACTTTAAGCAGTTTTGTTGCAGGCCATCTTGAAGATGTGCTTTATAGATCATAGTGAGTCAGGCAACAGGTGGCTGGCCTTATAATTCACTAGGCGCATTCTTTGAGCATGGAAGCTATGAGGAAGAAAGGGCGAGGGGCTGCGTGTATGGAGTGTGAATCGGGAGGATTATAGGCAACGGAGCACATAGCATGGGCAGGTGAGTAAGCGGAGGTGAATGAGATGCAAGTGCAAAACTGGCTCATGCAAAGGAGGCACAATCACAAGTATATTTCTATTCCAGAGCAATGCATAGCAGTTAGAGTATCTCAGTGAATATGGCCCTTAAAGTTTAAGGGTTTATACAGTAGGTTTTTTAAACGCATAGAAATAATATACTATTATACTTCTGTTCCATCTAATTAGTTTGTATTAGACTTCAGTAGTGGTAAAATTGACTCGTTTTACTGTAGACTGAGATCCTATGCTTTTGATTGGTTTTTAATAAACCCACTGTTCGCCTTGGTCATGTACAATTTCTTCAGAATCAAGAATCCTAAACTTGGAGGATTTAGACTTACTATCTCAAATTGACGGAATTAAGGTATAGAAGAGCATACTGAAAGTAGTCTGCCATAAGGGGTAAAAAATGAAAAACACAGCATACATGTGTAAAACTAAATGTAATCTAAGATAGGAGTAGTAATAATCTGTGTTTAATCATAACTGCTTATTGCACAGTGATGTGCTGAGGTGATTTGGGTGTTTTGTCCAAGTATTTCCAGAAGTCAATTTGTTTAGAATTTTCTTTCAGCAAAACCTTAACCCTATTTCCTGGGCTTATAATGTCGTTTCAAAAATAATTACAGCATCCATGTAACATGTTTCATCCCATACTGAAGATGAATATTCCCAGTTTTGTCTTTCCTGTTTTGCTTTGGAGATTAATGTTTTTTCCAGTTCTTGGAGTATTTTCATGAGCATTTGCGTAGAACTTCTTTTTCACCTTGGTTATAACAAGACTTGTTTCCTTGGCACAGTCAAATACAAAATTCTTTACAAGGCCAAAACTTTTGAGAGTCTTACATAGCACAATAAAATGTTATATCTGATTTTCAGGTGTAGGTGAGCAGCTGGATACTAACATTTTTTTCATTACCTCTTTTTTTTGTGCTGTGAGAGTCAAGATGTATCCTGGCAAAATTTTATTTTAAAAATGACAGCACTTATACTTGATTTTACAGTATAAGTAATAAATACGTGGCAAATATGTGATTTACTGAAACAGAATAGAAAACCAGTTACATGCATATGTAAAAAATGATAAATTCCATCCAGTAGGCTCCAAAGCAACTCATTTCATGCATCTGTCAAATAGTCTATCCTGCACAGTCCTAAACAACTCAGGTAGGAAAACAGGGAAACCCAAGTCAAATAAGCAGGAATCTCTTCCAGCAATCTCCCCTTACTGTAGAGTGCTTGTCCCCTTTTCTCAGAGATTAGAGCTAAGGTCAGTAGTTCATTGGGATTAAAGTTTTAATCACCACAGAATTTCATATATGTTCAATCTCTTTTCTCTCGTTTTTATAGTTGCAGTATAGCAGTTTCTGTTAAACCCCAAAAAACCCAATCTGTCCTAGCCTTGCTAGCTGTTTTTGATAGTGAGTGAAGCAAATACATTGGCATTTGTGGTTTATTCCCACACCTTCTCCTCCTCCCACTCCCCCCCCCCCCCCCCCCAAAAAAAAACCAAAACAAACCACAAAAGGATGAGAAAAACACATTAATCTAGGCAAGAAGATTTGGAGGACTATGGAAAACAACTTTTCACTGTGTTCTCAGGTGTTTAATTACCAAAAAATATTTCAAAGTTAATTTGTTGACTGGTCTCTGAAAGAAAAAGTAGATCTTTAATAGCAAACTATAGAGAGAACAGTTAAAGCATTTGGAAATCAGGAGTTTGACAACCTTGTGCTTATACCGTGGATTTTGGAATGAGTGGATGAAATTTTCCTTTTGGGGGGGAAATGTGGGAAAGGGAAAAAGGAATCACTTGAATTGCAATTAGAATTTTCCTTTTCCTCTTTCCTTTACATCAACAATATCTAAAATACTATCTCTCTCTACTGGAAATCATACATGTCTTAAGTGAACGTTAATTTTGTATCCAGAAAACCTGATCATATTGTAGACACCAGGCCATCACGGTGCTACAGTTCTCTCCAATTTTTCAGCCTTAAGTGCTTGGCAAGGTAAAATTACATTCACATGTACAAAATGTTCTCTTTAGCCAAAGCAATTAGCAAATTCTCTTCGCCATTTGTTTGTTGGGTATCGGGTGCCTGAAACTTTTCCCTAGTCACATTAGCAGAGCAGAATTATAGCCGCACTTTAAATGATGAATCAGTGAGAGAGGAGGAGCTGAATTTGAGGTATATATATATATATATATATATAACCAGCCAGAGCCTATGCAAATGCTTCTCCAGCACATCAGCAGTGTCATTGCAGTAGGCTCAGGGCCCAGGTGGGTCACCGCTGGGATGCATCTTGACTTTGAGGTGCAGTATAAAGGAGCAGATTAGTCTAGGAGGCATCTGTATGACAGGATGAAAAGATTGTGCATATGTTACTAGAGCAAAAAGAGATTTCTGGTTTCCAAGTCTGTGTGCACCTGAGCTTCCTCTGAATTTCAGGTTGGTGCGGGCAGAAGTGTGCACCAGCCCTTCCTTTCCTCTTTACTCCACTGGCTGGCTTCTGTGCAAAGGCAGCGGAGGCGCGCTGGCTGAACCAGGCCGTAGCACGTGCCATCGACTCCCTTGGATGGAGGTTTACGGGAACAGGGCTCTGGGTGCATGAGAACACGCTAGCAGGAAAAACAACCTTGGGAAAAAAATGGACTCTCTCTCTCCCAAAACAAAGTGCACAAACTCACTCGTTACTTTTGAAAATGCAGACTCCGCTGTTAATGCTAACTTTGCTTAACTGCACTTCGTTAACTGTTTCAATAGCAATAGATGGTGTTTATTCTTCCTACTTTTACTTTGTAGATGCACTCTGATCTTGCAGCCAGGTCACTTTCCCCTCATTTCACAACGTTTCTCTGCAAGAGGATTTATAAGGTATCACAGAAAATTCAAAATTATCTCCATCAAAAGTTTGTACGGCTGCAGCTGTTAGGGTTCTGCTGTAATGTCTGTTTGTATTGATTACTTAAAGATTTATACACCCAATAGTCACTGCCATCAGGCAATCCCATCAGTACAGTCATGTTACATGGCTCGTTTGGGGTTAGGCTAGTTTCATGGGCAGGTTCTGTGGCTTTTGGGAACTCTCCCTCCTGGAGGAGGAATGAAGTCTGACTTGAAAGGTGGGGATTGTTTCAGAGGAAGAAACTGGTTTCAGATGTGCCATATGTGTATATTGTACGATGGTTAATGTAAACAATTAAAGGGTTAAATTTCTCATCATCCCCTTCAATCTTATTCCATACGTTCTGGAGCACAAACCCACATGGCGCAGGTGTCAGGCAAACAGGGGAAGTCAACATATCCCACACCTTTTTCTGCTCCTGAATTTCCATTTCCTCCTTTTCCCCTCAGCTCTTCGGTTCCTGGTTTCTTTAAATTATGTTCTCTGCAAGGCAGGACAAGGAATTTCATTATCTCTGTAAAATATTTAGCACTTTAACTTGACCAAAATAAAATATAGCTATAGTCTGAAGTACAGTATCAGAAAGATTAATGAGCTCAATAACTGCAAGAGAAGCAGCAGCGGTTTTGTGAGGCACTGGATCCTCTGTCTCAGGTCTCCCAAGGGGCGAGAAGGTTAATTAAATCCTGGCTCATTGTTATAACACTAAATCCTAAAACATCATGTCAGTCTTTGTGTCCCTACTGGGACAACCCTTGTTGCAATTCTTTCAAATATTTAAGCAGCAGGAAAAAGGAAGGAAAGCAGTTAAATTGTATCCCTAATTGCCTTACGTTTTGACGGAAAGTCCATTACAGGGGGAAATCCACGTCTGAAAATCTTCCTGCTCAGTTTGAAGATGATATCAACTGCCCTCTTTTGGGGAGGCAGAGAGAGAAAAGAAGACAAACAGAAAGAGAATGGAGTTGAGGAAGGGAAACGATCCCCAGCAGGCAAAGGTGTGATAGGAGGAAAATGCAATTCCTGTGCCAGGTTTTGATCAGGATGAAGACAAAACCAGCAATGTCCGCAGTGTAATTGGATTCCCTCTCCAGTTTTGTCTGACTGCCTGATAGCCTTTAAGATAATGGAGGCCCAGGAGTGTCATGGTAGGTGATAGGATCCCAGGATTTGCTAGCAGTAACAGTCGTGAATGTAAAATTCCTTGTTCCCTCTAATCCACGTATCCCACTGCTCGCCTTTGATGACCTCCAAATAAAGATGTTTCATGAACGAGCGTATCTTTATTCTGTACATCTGACCGCACTATAACATTTCTTTCTGTTTCGTGTGGTGGGTTGACCCTGGCCAGCAGCCACGCAACCGTTGGCTCGCTCCCCCGTCCCCAGCGGGACAGGGGGAGAAAAGAGGAAGAATAAAAGTGAGAAAACACGTGGGTTGAGATAAAGACAGTTTAATAGGTGAAGGAAAGAGACAGAAAATGAAGGAAGGGAAATCACTCACCACCTCCCACAAGCAGACCAATGCCCAGCCAGCCTGAACAGCAGCCACCTTGGAAGCCAAAAATCTCCCTTCTTCTTCCCGTACCCCAGTTTTTACTGCTGAGCCTGACATTATGGCATTATATGTTATGGAAAAGCCCCTTGGCCAGCTGAGGTCAGCTGTGTCCCCTCCCAGTCTCTTGCCCACCTCAACCTTCTCCCTGGTGGAGAAGAGTGGGGGAAAAGAGAAAGCCCTGACGCTGTGCAAGCTCTGTTCAGCAACAGCCAAGCCTTCAGTGTGTTAGCAACACCATTTTAGCCACAAATTCAAAACGCAGTGCTATATGAGCCGCTATGAAGAAAGTTAACTCCATCCCAGCCAGACACAGTGCAATATCTAAATGGTCCAGATCATCATTATGCCAACTTTCAATTTCATGGAGGGTCTTGAAGATGTTTTCCCAGAGCTTTTCAGTGTAGGTACAAAAAGGAGTACCAGTTACACTGTGCCCAACTCTTGTTTTTACAACAACCAGTCATTTAGCAGGTTGGATTGGTTTCCCTGAGACGGCTTACTGTAGGATTATGCCAGAGATATAGTCATGAAACAAGACCCTGAGTTTGACATATTATCACCACTACTTAAAATGGGGCCTGTAGGCAGATGAACAGTTCTGGGGGAAATGGTAGGAGGTAGCTTACGCATCTGGTATTTTATCAAAAGTTCAAATCCTGTCTGACCTGAAAACGGTTACAGAAGAGAAACTTCATAGGCAGAATGAATATTTGAATGTTCAACTTTATCATTAGCTGGACAGTAGCAAGGTTTGGAAAGAAAAATTCAGAAAGAATTTCTATAGAAACCCTCCCTCTTCAAGATGAGCATCAACTTCTAC